CTTTAGACCTGAGAAAATGTGCAACAAACCATTAAAAATTTAAACGTACAGAAAAATCAATATTCATCGGACATGCACACCAATTGGCAGGATTGTGTCAGTTTGCACTAGTAGGCATTACGTGCATTTCGTCGGCACGCACTGAATTTAGTCTTGAAGTAATTATATCTGGCGTCCTAATCGATATGTCTGTCGATGCATGCCTCCTCTGAGTGCATTGCTTCCAGGAATTCACAGCCTTTTGTAGTTGGATAAGCGCCAACCATCCGTGTGTTCTCCTAACGAATTTGTGGCCGGTTTCCAGTGTGTGTATGGTCACCAAAAGCAAGAATACCATTTTATTTACATTAAGCGATCCCTTCTTCCATCAAATTTATGCGGATATTTGCCGACGTTAGTGTTTGTTGAGTCTCGGAATGTCCTTGAAATATAAATACCTTATGCTTTTCAGTGATTTCAATCGTTTGCCCTTAAAGATAGCTTCTGCGCTATGCATTTCTCAGAATAAGATATTTCTGAAATGAATTAATTGAAGTAGTAGGTGTTTGAGTAACTTTTATCCTATTGCTCTATTCTGAAAACTGCTAATTTTTCATCGTTTCTTTTCTAAATTACGCATGAGCAAGAACTAGATCACTCAGAAAAGTATTCTTCTATGTCCAAACTGTTGAATGACTAGTTTGACAGTTTTTAATAATGCATTTGTGAACATCATAAAAAATATGCACACTTTTAAACGAAGCATTGTCTGTATTTCTTATTATTGTACATTTAGGCATTAGTTCATACTTGTTTGCAAATATGACATTTAAAAACCACTAAAACGCCAGGTTTTCAAAAACATTTGCTTACTCACAACCTCGTTCTCACGGTTCAGCCGGGACAAAAGAAAATCAGTTTCCGAATTTGGCAAGTTTTTGTTTGGTGAACCTCTCGAAGTTAAGCTGCTCCTCTCCAAAAGAAAACGAACCTCAAAGGCGTAAATAAAGTCTGGGACGACTCTGTACACAGGAAATTACCCCAATACAGATAAACCTAGATTTCGGCTTAAGTTTACGAACATTTTAACTGATAAAATACACCAGGAGGCATTTTCTAGAACGTACTGGACGCCTTAGACGTATAACCTTCATTTCCGTCATCACATTTCATGAGTTAGGTAGCATACTATATTGTCCCAACAACACTGACGTTCGATAGTTGCTTTCCAAGCTATTCCGGTCTCGGCAACCCATACGGAAACGCAGGTTTTAAAAACAAATTGTCTTTAATCGACAATTCTCTTCTGAATGGTCACAGGAAACGGGATCAGCACAGATGTTTAGTAGGCTTCTGGCTCTTTTCATTTATTTTTTACAGGGCCTTCACCAGGAGAGGTTTACTGTGTGTCTGACGTTTCACCTAGTTATAAGGGCGAAATAGTACCCGAAA